GATTTTAATAGGAAGATAGATAGATAGATAGATAGATAGATAGATAGATAGATAGATTTTAATAGGAAGAGATAGATAGATAGATTTTAATAGGAAGATAGATAGATAGATAGATAGATAGATAGATAGATAGATAGATAGATAGATTTTAATAGAGATAGATAGATAGATAGATTTTAATAGTTAGAGATAGATAGATAGATAGATAGATTTTAATAGGAAGGATAGATAGATAGATAGATAGATAGATAGATAGATAGATAGATAGATTTTAATAGGAAGAGATAGATAGATAGATAGATAGATAGATAGATAGATAGATAGATAGATTTTAATAGAGTTCGATAGATAGATAGATAGATAGATTTTAATAGTTAGAGATAGATAGATTTTAATAAGAAGAGATAGATAGATAGATAGATAGATAGATAGATAGATAGATAGATAGATAGATTTTAATAGGAAGAGATAGATAGATAGATAGATAGATAGATTTTAATAGAGATAGATAGATAGATAGATTTTAATAGTTAGAGATAGATAGATAGATAGATAGATAGATAGATAGATAGATTTTAATAGGAAGAGATAGATAGATAGATAGATAGATAGATAGATAGATTTTAATTGAGTTCGATAGATAGATAGATAGATAGATTTTAATAGTTAGAGATAGATAGATAGATTTTAATAAGAAGAGATAGATAGATAGATAGATAGATAGATAGATAGATAGATAGATAGATAGATAGATAGATAGATCGAAGTAGACAGAAAGGGAAAAGAAGAAAGAGAAGAACAGTGAAGGATGAAGAAATAGAAAAGAAAGGAAAGAAAGTGTGGATGAAAGGAGAAGAGAGAAAGAAAGGGAATAATAGAAAGCAGAGTGACAGAAAAAGAAAAAAAGAATAAAGCATGAGAGAGTGAGAAAGACAAAGTGAAAACAATAAAAAGGAAGTTATATACTGACAAAAAGAAAGAAAGAGAGAGAGAAAAATCAAAAGAGAAGTATAAGTAGAAATAAGGATAGAGAAATATAATTAATTGATTTTTTTTATGGTTTATCAACCCTTTGCAGATTATTTAAAGCTATAAAATATTTCCAGATTGTAATTTTTTTTTTTTTTACTGATACGCATCCTACTAATTAACCCATAGCTGAGGAGAGAAGGGTAATTGCGCGTAAGTGAATATAACAAACCAGACTGGAATTGGAACTCAGCTCTCCAATTTCCAATTCTGAGTCATTATCCATTACACCACCTGCACATCCAAGTTTACAGAACCTAGTATTCTCAAGTGGTCACCCATCTAGGTACTGACCACACTCGATGTTGCTTAACTTTTGTGATCATATGAAAACTGGTGTTTTAGCCTAAAGCTGGAAACCAGAGAAATATAAGTAGGGAAAGACAGAAAGAAGGAAGATAAAGAGGGGTATGTCAATAGTAAGAAAAACAGAGACCCTGAGGAAAGAGGGAAAGAAATGAAAGAGAGAAGGAAAAATAATGAAATGGAAAGAGAGAGAGAGACAGTGAGAGAGAGAGAGAGATAGATATAGAGAGAGAGATAGAGAGAGAGATGCAAATAGAAGTATAAAGAAAAAGAGAGTGTTTGAAAAATATAAGACAAGTAGAGAAAGAAAAAAATTGAAAAATAAAGAGAGACTGACCACAAGTCAAGAGGAAAAATGAAAGAGAACAAATCTGAAAGAGAAGGATAAGCAGAAACAGAGATAGGGAGATATAAGATAAGTGGGGAAAGAAAGAAAGAAAGAAAGAAAGAAAGAAAGAAAGTGGGAGATACCCAACAGAGAGAGGCTAACTATGCGACGGGGAAACAGGGAAAGACACATGCAAAGAGAGAAGGGAAAATTAAATGAAAGAGAGACAGTAAAAGGAAGCAATACAAGGAGAAAGAGAGAGAGAGTCATAGAAAGAAAGACATAAACCTGTGAAAGAAAGAGAATAAAAATGCTTAAAAAGAGAGAAAAGATGAAATAAAAAAAGGAAAAAAAGCACAAAGAAGAAGAGAAATAAACAAACATGGAGTGAGAGATGGAGAGAGAAATAGAGAGAAACAAAGGAATTATAAGAGATTAGCTCATTTAAAAGAAAGCAACCAAAAATGACGAATAAAGAAGGAAAATAGAAAAAGAAAAAGAATGGAGACAGAAAGATACAAATCTAGAAAGAATAAAATAGAACTCCATGAGAAAGTTGGATGGCAGATGTAGAAGTTAATGTGTAGGTAAGTATACAAGGGATAATTTTACCCAACCCCCAGAGGTCTTTAGTTCTGACCCCTTCCGCTTTGGTCTTAGGCCGATCCTTGTTGAATGGATCATGCCAAAATTCTTTTTCTTTACTGTCCCCTGCCCGACCACCTTTACACATACTTTGAAAAATGCTCGTTGCGTTGCAGTTTAGGAAACCAACCTTGGCGGCCGTGCTTAAAAGCCTTTCGCTCCATTGCATGTAGCAGAAAATCCAGCTCCCCT